CTTGTGGCATGGGCAGCTTGCATGTCTGGAAAGGCACCATTAATGCAGAGAACTATGTTCAGGTTCTAGAACAACATATGCTCCCATCTAGACGTCATCTCTTTCAGGGAAGACCCTGCATTTTTCAACACGATAATGCCAGACCACATTCTGCAGCAATCACAACATCATGGCTACGTAGGAGAAGGATCCGGGTACTGAAATGGCCAGCCTGCAGTCCAGATCTTTCACCTATAGAGAACATTTGGCGCATCATAAAGAGGAAGGTGCCACAAAGAAGGCCCAAGACGATTGAACAGTTAGAGGCCTGTATTAGACATGAATGGGAGAGCATTCCTATTTCTAAACTTGAGAAACTGGTCTCCTCTGTCCCCAGACGTCTGTTGAGTGTTGTAAGAAGAAGGGGGGATGCCACACAGTGGTAAAAATGGACTTGTCCCAACTTTTTTGGGATTTGTTGACGCCATGAAATTTGGAAACAACAGATTTTTCCCTTAAAATGATACATTCTCTCAGTTTAAACTTTTGATCTGTGATTTGTGTTCTATTCTGAATAAAATATTAGATGTTGGCACCTCCACATCATTGTATTCAGTTTTTATTCACAATTTGTTTAGTGTCCCAACTTTTTTGGAATCAGGTTTGTATTTCTAAGCTTCACAACTCACAATGAATAGAGTTAGACATTTTCTTACTTGTCTCTCATCACCACTCCTTCAATACAGGCTCCAAACAAAACCACAAAGGAGATATCTTATTATAGAGTTAAGATACAAACTGATCTGTCACAGTTATAACCCTCAGAAATAAACTAGTGTGTGTCATCCTCTGCACCGGCTGCACACACACACATTCCAAAAACAGACAACCAAAGACTGGAGGATACAAATGAAAGATGTGGTGACAATAGCCAGTATGGTTCCGATAGGGATGGATCTCTGGGCATCTCTAAGATCACCGGATCTGTTGGAGCCAGCCATGATACCTGAAATAAGAGACACACATTTATATTTGTCTTTCATTTAAAGTGGATTGAAAGGCTGCTTTTTTTCCTGCTTTTGAGCTCATTTGGTAATTTACCTGTGACAGAGGGGAAGTAAATCCCCACCAACAATGTGAAGTAAGAGGTGATGTCATTGAGGACGTAGATCCATTCTTTGTCACCGGGTGGGACTGAAGAAGGCTGATTATTCCTCTCTATGGCCACTCCAGCTTCACCGTAGTTGCTCCACAAGTTTTCTGATGGGAAAACATTTTAAAAATCACCATCAGTAATCAAGCAATGATAAAAATGACAAAAACTGGTTAGCTCAAAATTGTCTGTCCCTAATGAAAAGTAAAAAAAAAACTACTGTACTTCCAAATTATTCCCCTCAATGAGTTAACTGATATCCTTGACACTCGTCTTCCTCACTGTTTCTTTACCATCATGAATCTTGAAGTTTTTTTTAAACAATTCTTTCAAATTTGAGAAGTGTCCACAGTTGTCAAAACCAGTTTTTATCAGTTATGCCAAATTATCAAGGGTAAATCTTACATTCCACCAAAAGACCTCAAAATATTTGTCCATGCTTCATCATCAGTATATTAGACTTCAATTCTCTATATTTTGCTTTGAACTATCAGCCCTACATCACCAGATGTCCAGAATGCTGCTGAATGTCTTTAAATATTTAAACTGGGCAAATGTGGCTGAGTGGTTAGAGCAGTCGTCCTCCAGTGCAAGAGTTGGGGGTTCGATTCCACCAGAAGTCACATGCCGAATAGTCCCTGGGCAAGACGATGAACCCCTCATTGCCTCTGATGTGTGTCCCATTGGTGTATGAATGTGATAAAGCTCTGATTATTCTTTGTATAGATCTAGTAGAGTGCTGTATGAATGAGTAAATGAGGGCACAGATTGTGTTGTAAAACGTTTTGAGTATCAACAAGATAGAAAGGTGCTATATAAGTGGAGTCCATTTACCATTTGAATAGTAAAGCCATGACCATTCCCCGAGGTGCAGGCGTTTCTTCCCTCTCCTTTTTCTCCTCCTGCTTTTTTGCTCTCTGTCTGTGTATCGGAGCAGCTCTTATTTTTACACACCTTCCAAAATGAAAACTACTGTTTTGGATCTGACCAACTGGACTTTTGACGCAAATGACAAAATCTTGTCAACAAAGTGACAGGGTCCTAGAGAACCCTCATCTGCTCGGACGACACGCATGCAGCTGGATATATCTCTGGGGAAGTGGAATGCGATGGGTCTACCTCTGCTATCGATCGAGGATGCCGAAATTGCATATAATTGGATTTATGATAACAGGTTTCCTGTTTTTGGAAAAGTCTGGATCCTGGTTTATCAAAGTACAAAGAAGACAGCCGCAGCTAATTTGGCCCACGTCAGGTTGCTGCCTATGTGAAGGTTTGGTCTGTGCTTTGAGGATTCAAAATCAGCTGATTTACGAGCTAAACCATAAGTTGGAAGTGATTGGAATTGCAGGCCACCTGCGGCTTTGGGACTCGTCAGCATGAAAACAACCTTGAAGAGGCTCGTAAGCACAAACCAGTAGAATGCACCCTAATCTGGCCATTTCAGACCTTGGAAGTATCAGTAAAGACTCAAGGCTGACAAGAAAATATAGTCTGCCTGAATAAGTCAACAATTGTGGATTATCTGAATCTGACTCCCCGGTTGGCCTCAAAACAGGTTGACTTATCAAATTCTCCTGGGAGATGTGTAAACTAAGAAAAAGCTTACTAAGTTAAGTCTGGGCCTCTGAACATTCAAAAAACAAAACAAACTAAAAAGAGACTGAAGAAGTCTTTCGGATGAAAGAAGAAACGTTTCTACATTTTTTAAAAAGTTTGTTTTGTTTTTTGAATGTCCAGAGGACCAGACTTAACTTTTTTAGATTATTCTACCTGGATTATTGAGCATGCATCAGGATATGGAAAAGCTTCATCTAAGAGATAAGAGGATAAGGGTAAGAGGCCGTGCTCTATCAAAGAGCAGCAGCTACGTGCACTCTGCCCATCTTTCGGATGACTGTACAAACACATTCTCGTTGTATCTCAGTGCAATGATAATAAAGTTTATTCTGATTCTGATCACATAACCCCACTTTTAGCAGATATACACTGGCTACCTGTTCTTTGTTGTCTTGATTTTAAGACTAACATTTAAAGTTTTAAAAGGTTACTTGAACTTCTTGGCATTTATAATCCCAGAAGAGCTTTGAGATTCGAACTATTCTTAAACATGCTATATAAATAGAATAGACCAATTCACTGTCAAGAAATAAAAAGTAGAAAACGTATGATTGAGGATGAATCAAGAGTTCGTTCCTCCCACCTTTGATGACGCCGCTCAAGAGCCCGGGCACGGCGTATATATCTGTCACGTTGTTCGAGGTGAAGTAGTTGTCACAAGTTGCATTGGGACAGAACAGCTCCCACAGCTCGGTGGTGCTCGAGTTGTTATTTAGTACTTCTGTCTTTGCGCACGTTTTAAACAATTCATTCTTCAAAGCGCGATTCCCTAACAAGCACACTCTGCAGAGGAGGAAAACAAAATGTAAGTCTGAGAGGTGAGCTGCAGAATTCAGGGAAACTATGCGACATCAGGGGAAAAGAGCAACATTTAAACACTTTAATAAAAGAACAAGGTAACAGTTATAATTATTATTTGTCTGTTGGTCACTTACTTGAACTCTGGCTGCTTAAAAACAGTACTGATGACTCCTGCATACGTGGCCATGATGGAGAGAATCACACAGGAGAGAAACACTAAAGCTAGTTTGTTTACATATCTGCAAACCAAAAGAAAACACAAGTGAGCCCATATGCTTGAATATCTATTTACATATGTGCATACGTATATGTGAAGAAACTCACTTCACCCCTACAAACACCACTAGTGCCATCAGAAGCAGGCAGCACGTCCCTAAGACACGCATGTTGTTGAGCATTGCCTCTTTATCGTTGCCTTTGAACACAGTTGCTGTTGGAACAATGTAAGTCTGGTAGAAGACAGAAAGTAAAATAAATTTAAAAAAAACTGGCAGAATGAGTCAGAAAACTGCAGCTGATATGATGACTGATGTGGCTGACAATTAGGAAGCATACCAGTAGGATCTCTATGGTGCCCAGTATGTACAGGGAGCCAGCAAAGGTGGTTCCCAGGTAGAAACAAAGACCCACTGCTCCGCCAAATTCTGGACCCAAAGATCTGGAGATCATGTAATATGAGCCACCGGCTGTAAAAACACAAAATCCCAGAAAGGTTTCTTCAAAATTGGTTGCTTGGTATTGTTAGTTTAATGAGAAAACAGATGGTATGAGGGAAAATGTGCATAAATAAAACGTTTCGCTTTTTGCTAGTTCAAGTAGGATTATAGTCATTTCACCACACGTGGTACATGAGGTGGAACAAAATTGTGTACACAGGGTCCCAGTTACATCCAACAACGTAAAAAATATGAAGTGTAAAAAGAAACAGTAAATAAGGATCTAAGATATAAACAAAGAAATACGCTAAACAAATGCCAAATGGTATGCTAATATACCCCGCGGTCTACTACTACTGCACTACCGAGTTAAAAGCCAAGAAGAAAAAATGTTTTAAGAGAAGATTTAAAAACAGGAAGTGCGTCGGCCAGTCTGATGAGCAAAGGCAGCTCGTTCCACAGTCCAAGAGCAGCGACTGAAAACACTCGGTCACCTCTCAGCCTCCTGTTTGATTTTAGAACGACCCACAGAAACAGCTGACCTGAGAGAGTGTGAGGGAACGTACAGCTGGAGCAGGTTGGACAGATACTGTGGGGCGAGACCATAAAAACAACTAAAAGAACCTTAAAGTTAAACTGGAAACAAACTGGGAGCCAGTGTAGCGATTCTAAAACGAGGGTGATGTTCTCTCGTTTTCTGGTACCAGTTAAAAGGTGAGCAGCAGCGTTCTGAACCAGATGAAGTCAAATCAGCAATGACTGGCTCAGCCCAACAGAAAGTGCATTACAGTGATCTAAACGAGTTGCGATAAAAGCCTGGATTAAAATCTGAAAATGACGCTGTTTGACCATGTCCAATTGTCTCAAGTGATAAAAGTTTATACACAATACTGGTCTCAAACCTGAGCTTCTGTATGTCTGTGGTCAGGCCTCACTTTGTACTATGACTGTAAAAACTGAATACCGTTCCAAATTATGTTAGAATTTTTTTTTGTAGGCAGCGAAATGATGATCCTGTTTATAAGTTAATTACAAAAATGGTGGTCTTTATATCAAGTATTAAGTAAAAAAAAGTCAGATAAAATCATTAACAATAACTATCTTCAGAGATATGAATAGACACCATTTATGCCTAAAAATGCCTCAAACCCATTGGTAAAGTTTATTTTTAAAGATGTAAATCTTCACAGAACAAATGGACTGAGCTCACAGGCCTCACTAGTTGATAATCATTGAATTACTGCCTTTCAAAACTATGAAACTAAATATTTTGTATTACTCCAGCTGCACGTTTTAACCACCAAATTATTACAGCGTACCTGGTACAACTCCATTAGTTGCTATGGCGCTCATGGATATGGCTGTAAGTAAAGTCTGTGGGGAGGAAAAAAAGAGGACAGAAATTAACCGGAGGGTAAAAAACTTTAACTCAAACTCTGACATGACTTTCATACAGTGGGAACACTTTTTAACTACATCTAAAAGACTCATAATTACAATTCAAACATTAGTATTAAGAAGAAAGATTTAAATTAAGTGTAGAAAGATTCTCAATACAAGATCCGACCTGTGTCTCATCCATCCATCAGTTTCTTTCAATTGACTGATCTGTCAGTTTTATTGATCACAGGTAATCCAACTTGTCAAAATTTAATCTGTCTCTTAGTTGATTCATTTGTAAATTGACTAATTCTGCTTTTCAAAGAAAACCCCGATGCCTTCAATTTTTATTCAACAAACTATTCAAGTTTTTACCTCAGATCTTAATCGAAGATAAAATAATAAATGGTAAATTGCAACGAGAAGCAGACTGCTTCATTATTCCAAACTGAAAACCCTTCAGTTAAAAAAAGGCTAAACTAAGCATTTAGAAATGTGGCAAAATAAATAAATAAATTTTTAAAAAATCAGTTACAGCTTTGCTATTTCTTTTAGTTTCACCAACAAAGTCATATAATTGGTCGAATGCATCCCGCCCGCCTGCCCGCATTGATGGGAGCACATCAGTCGCCAGATGTTGAGTTTTAAAAGACAATAAAGTCAAAACAATAGAGATTAAACGTGGATTAATATTTATCTGTTCCTCCAAGATTCACTAATATTAGATATTTGATTGGAAGGTTTGGCTGATCGGTTTTAATCTAAAGACCAAATAATTGATTGAGTACTTCAGTGGGCTGGGGTCAGGTTTACCTGGTCAGGTATTGCTGCAAGCTGGTTACATGGCATTAAAATCTGGGATTAAATCAGATTAGCTCAAACTAAACTCCGTTCACACAGCCTGTGTAGTATATGTTATGTGCAATACATATGTGCATTGAAGCTAATATTACTCCCTGTGAAATACTCATTTATGCTAATTCATCCTACTTGCACCGTTATATTTTACCATGTTGTTGTTTACTATATTTCTTTTGGACCTTGTAAATGTTATATTTCTTTTTCACTTTTTGGTACTTTATTTTGTACTTTTATTGCATGCTTTAGTATTGATTTTGTTTTTTTTAAGCGAGTCAAATCAGTTCTTCTCATCCTGAACATTTCATTGCATTGTTGACCTTGTGTGAACCTGCATATGACAAATAAACAAACATAATAAACATAACATGCACTAATAAAATGTTTGTTAAATCCTCCTGTTATGAATGGATTAGTCTATTTTTTAACAAGATTAGAATTCAAATACTATTTAATGTGAAGTCCCTGTTTAAAAAACAAACAAAAGGCACAAGTTTGCCTTAAGATAAAAGTAAAATGTATTCATTTTCATGGAAGTTCACATTATGTTTTGATATTATAAATTACCATACTAATAATTATGGGTCACTTAATTGTATACAAAACTTAAACATGCCATGCCTTCCTTATTTGTCATCCTATGAAACAGTGTGGCACGATACATGATGATGAAGGGTGTTGTGTGCTCATTCTTCACGTCACTTGAGTCACAAGCGAGTTAAATTCAGAATTTATTAACAGTCACTTCTCTGTTGGGCCATCTGAAGCTGCTGACATTTGAGGCTGTAAATAAGACACATTTTCTGTTGTTCTAAAGACCCTTCTCTGAACTCAGGCAGGCTGCAGAATTCCAAACGTGCCACAAATTATGAGACTGTTATTTTACTTTACTGGCCTTATGTTTGCTTGATATTTTACATAAAACTTGACTTAGACATGCCTTTGAACGAAAAAGAGCCAGGGGAGAACCTCACTCCAAGGTTCTTTCTATGCTTCAAATACAGGGTCAGAAAGTTTTGTAGTGGAAGGTCATGTGTTACTCACACAGAAGCAACACATGAAGACGATGGCGAAGGACTCCAGGATGCCTGCTGTGCCAACGATCCAGGTAAGGCGCAGAAAGAGAATCACACCCAGGATGTTCTGCATGCACGGCAGATAAACTCCGATGAACGTTCCCATCTGGGGCACCTAGAGATGCAAAGACACACAGACATGTGAGGATCATCAGGAGGATGCAAGAAAGTTTCTAATGTCATTTCAAAATGTCAGCATCCAAAATATGCTGAACTTTTGTTATCCTTTGTGAAAGAATACTTGCCAAAAGACCAAAAGTATAAATACAGTGTGAAAGAATTACTGACCAAATGGTGCACTTATTGTAATCATACAGTGT